TCGGAAATTGTGACTGTTGTATATTTTAATATGTTGTCTTGTGTATTATCTCCTTCCCTTGTTTTATTGTAAGCTGCCCGGAGTCCTTCGGGAGTGGGCGGCATACAAGCTCAACAAAACAAAACAAAACAAACATCAAGGAAAAATACTGCGTTCCAGGTAGTCCTTCAAGCCAATTTAATACTATTAAGTCTCAGCAGATGTCACTACCTTGAATGGGCGAAGGATATTTTGACTGTCAAGTACTGGGATGAGAAACCGCAATGAATAAAACACATACAGTACTCTAGAAAAATTTAGAGATATTGCAGAAAAAAAGTACAGTAATAGCAAGCCACATTACTGCCAACTATGACTGCATAGTTTTGTCTATATAATTGCCATGTGACCTTGACTTGAGGCTGTTTTTTTTTTTTTTTCTAACATTAAATTCAGAGCCAGACACATTGCTACAATACATATTGGTATGTCTTTATTTCATCAACAGAAATGGTGTCTAGACAAAATTCAGTTAACACTATCAATTCAAATGAATGGAAAAAATCTTTTTGCACGATACTGTATTTACAATGAGTAACTGAAGTCTTTAAATTTATTAGTTCATAGATAGCAATGCTGTTTTTTTTTTCCAAAAAGGTAAAAATTCTTAGTAACAAGGAATAAGCATCAACAGCCATTTCATTTATACAGTAAAAATCACAAGAAACCACAGTCACCTAGAAAAAAATAATAATAGACAAGCTTAAGAACTAGTACAATAAAATGATGCATTGAATTAAGTTCCATTAATCACATAGATTCTGTGTAAAAAGTATATAGAAAAACACCTGATGCAACTTGTTACAGTCATTGACCAGTTATGAGAGGTACAGAAGATTATACAGGTAGATATGTGTGAGAACTGTCCATACTGTTTGACCTGGGGAGGAAGAGGAGAGGGGTTGCATCCCCTTGCATACACTGATAAAACCCTGTTTTGAATATGGCCTCTGAAGTTTGTAAGGCATAGATAGTAGAGGTGCACTTGTATCCCACTGGTTCTGGAACAAACTCTTGAGGGTATCTTCACCCTTGTAATCAAAGATGAGCCTTGAACTGAATGGCAAAAATCAGCATACAGAGATCTCCAAAGTACTGAATGGAATTTCTGCTGATTGGAGGAGTCCAGATATTTTTTTAAAATTCGTAACACAAGTATTAAGTATCAGTTTTTGAAGAACGTCTTATCCTTTTCATAACTGCAAATGCACAAGAACTCATACTCATTACCAACAAAGCACTGAACTCTAAATGTGTGGAATAACCCAGAAATTCAGTCTTGTCTCCTCAAATTTGAATTCACCTGTTAAGACAGAAAACAGGGAATTTCTAGGCTAAGTTTCTAATCCCGACTGCCTTCAAAATTAAATGGATCATTGGCTTCAAAATCGCTTGAACCATTTCCTAGTTTTGAGCAATGACAGAAATGGATTTTCATCAAACTCCTTTTTTTTAGTATTTATTTATAAGGCTGCAATCCTATGCACACTTATCCGGGGTAAGAAGCTCCAGTGAACTCAGTGAGACTTACTTTCGAGTAAACATGCATAGGGTCAAGCTGAACAAACTTTCATATAATTTATTTTATTACACTGCATAGGTGTTTAAACATTATGTAAACTGGACCTATATATAAAAGAGCTGATATTAGTGAGGCATTGATAATAAAAAGTTATCTTTTTTTCAGTTTGAAGGATTTGAATAATTACTCCCCACTAGAAAAAGTGGCTTTCATCACAATGGTAGAACCACATGAGCATTATAATTTAAAAACAAATACATATCACTAGTTTTATTCTGATATCTTTCTATCTATCTATCTATATATAATATTGGTGGAGTGTAGGAAAATATTGTAATTCTTTTACACGGCAAGCAATGACATTCTAACTTCCAGAGAAAGTTATAATAATTTATTAGTAGTCTACAATCCACCAAACTATATTTTTTTAATATACATAAAAATTGTTTGAATGGATTTAACATATGTACAACTGTATTCTGCAGCATTATTTGATGCCTGTGTCACAAAATAATTCAATTATAAATATACATAATATATAAACAAGCAAAATTACACATACTGATTTTATATTGTAGATAGAAATTAGCTACCACATTTTTTTAGCAGAGCTTTCCAAAGGCTACATCAAGTAACATCCTTTCTTATCTGTCTTCACTAACTCAAAACTTTTTAAATGTACACATTTAAAGAGATGGCAGTGAAATAAGTGATCAAACAAACACAAATCCTGATCTTTTGTGTGCGTGTGAAAACTGCCTCTTGGAGTCATTGGTCTGAGCTAGATTGTTGAGAATTTCATGCTTGCATAGGCTTCACAAAACTACTTACTAGTCTGCTGCTCAAAGGATATTGTAGCTCTGTAGGCTAAATCTGTTAGAAATGATAGAGAATGTCCGTAGCTCGGGGAGAGGCGAAACTTGCCTGTTGGTTTGTTGTGAAATAGAAACATATAAGATTTACAGGTCACCAGTAAAAGAAGACCAACAGGCTTCAGGATTAGATTAACCTATACTAAAGGCCATAAAGATTGACTGGCACACCAAAGATAAAAAATAAATTTAATCAGTTGCTGTGAGGTTAGTTATCATACTTTATTTAGGGAAGAAGAAAAAAGAGCTAAAAAAAAATCACCTGAAATTCCACCCATGCGGCTTTTCACATCACAGTGATGTATAAATGGGAAACTACAATGACTGAGCATTCAAAAACACTTTTCTTTAAAACTCCCTATAATTTTTTTAAAAATTTTGTCATATTGCAGTAGGCTGAATGTAATATTCAGCTGCTACAGTCAGCAGCTGAATTGACTTTATTAAGTTTAGATAGCTCTGACTGTCTATTTTCAAGAGACGAAAATTGGAATACTGATCACAGTGGCTTCTGTATTCCATTTTTTTTTTCAATTTTTACTTCCTTGGGAATAAAAATAGATGGATTAGATCCAAAAAAAGTGCATCTTTAAAAAAGCAGCATATATTTCTTAGAAAGACTTCAAATAATTTAACTGTGTAATATATAATAGTTTTATACTACAGCATCAAACTCTGATGCTTGAGTCAGCGTCTATTGGGTCTAGGACATAAATATCAGAATATTTTGGGAATCTGACTGAATCTTTAAAACAAAAAAACTCCCCCAAAACTAGCCTTTTTGTTCCAGAATCAGGTTTCAATGAACTTCAACTTTGTTCAAGGCACCCCCTAGCAAAATATTTATGTAAGTGTAATATTCACCTGACAAAAAGTAGAAGATGCCTAAATGAAATGAGGTTTTCTGGCAATAGAAAGCACAGCAAAGGCAAATTAAAAGGAGAATATGCAGACTGGACAGGGCCAAATATATATTCTTTGCACATTCCTTACTCAGTGCAGAAGCTGCTGCTGACTAGCATGGGAACGTAAAAACAAGACCTCGCGTCCATTCCTTCATCACAACCGGTACTGTTCTTTGCTGCTGCATAATGCATGCTTACTTTTATCTAAAAATGAAATTTTTTGGTCAGTTGTGTCGTCCCCCTGTACCCCCCCCCCCATCCCCTAATTTTCCTTTAGCCTAATGCAGTTCAAATATCTCAATTTGGGTCCAGTTCTGAAAGTAATTCTCCTAAGAAGTTAACCCAAGAGTCATATGTGGTTCTGAAAAACCATACACAATAGGGTGTCCAAAGAAGCTAATATACACATTAGTCACTTCTAAATGAAGAGGCAAACATAAAGAAAGCAAAAAGATTGAAACAACAGAAAAGTGGATTTAAAGGAAAAAAAAAACAGAAGGGGAGGTGGAGGTAGAACAGGAGGAGGAAGAGGAGAAAAAGGCTCTGAATCAGTGAGAGAGCCAGGTCAATACAATAACTGTAGAACATGTTTTGTCCATTACATGTAAACTAATAAAATGAGGTCAAAAGTACCATTTGCACGTGAGTTGGTATTAATAGTAAATCTCTATATCAAGTGCTTAGAATCTAGTGTGAGATGCTGCCAGATGAAGCTTTTATTTTGTAGCTACTTAGCCCTGCTTATGAAATTTTATTTGAAGGGAGGGAATCTCTATGTACAATCATGCTTTCTATTTCTTCTTTATTTTCCCTTCCTACCATTTCTTTCATTGTTCGGAAGAAAAAGTTTTAAAAAAATAGCCAAATAACGATGGATAGTAAAAAGGAGTTCTCCATCTGGAACATCCTGAATTGTATACCCACAAAAAATACAACTTAGAGGCCACTTACAGCTATTAAAACAAAACAAAAAAAGTATTGAACAATACTGCCAACAGGATAAAAAAATGAAGTATTCTCAATGGCTGTGAAAAATATAATGACATTCACATGTTGCTTGAAATCTTAGCTTCCATCACTGACTGTAATCACTGAAGTTAAGTTCTCTGTGAAGCAGTCAAGAGTTCTGCAAAGTCAACTGATTTACAAGGCCTACCCTTCATATCTTACATAATTCCTCACCCCAAATATTTTATTTGAAAAGTTATATTTTCAAAGGAAGTCCCCATCTAAACATTACTCTACAGTTAGTAATAAGTTTATTCATTTTACACAAATGCTTAATATTTAAATAATATATGCTAAACATATAGTATCTCCATCCTACATAGGGATGCCCTCACCCTCTTCAGTCAATAAATGTAGAATACGCTGCAGGAAGAGTACAATGAATGTGGAGTCTACCGCAGGAACAGGAACAGCTATTTGTCTGCCTACCCCTCATTTGAAAAAGATGCTGATTCCTCTGCTGGGAAAACAATGCTGCTTTGCTGAGTGAGGGACTGTCTCTGAATGTAAACAGTATCTTTGAGGAAAGTGTTGTCTGTGGCATTCAGAAAAGCTGTCTGCCTCGACACTGTGCGTGGTTATTCCATAAGGTCTAATACACAATAAACAAGACCAATCTGTAAATGATAAATGCCACCTTAGAATACAGCCTAATACCGTAACATTTCACAATAACCTTCTAATACAGAGAAGGTTATTGTGAAAGTAAAAAGTAATCTTTAAAAACAGAAGGACAGAATCCACCAGAAAGAAATATCCTGCATAAATCTTGTTGGCATGCATTGAAATTACATCAATGCTCCTTTCAGATCATTTCCATTTACAGGTACTCCTCGACCTACGACATTGGAGCCCAGAATTAAGTTGTTGCCATCATTAAGCAAGGCACCCACTCTTCTCCTCCCTCTTCTCATGCAGGCATCAGGCAAAGCATGGGGTGCCTCAGAGGGTGATTTGCTGAACGAATCGTTGTAAGTTGAGGATTACCTGTACAATACTTCAATAGGAAAAAAGTTTTCATGAGAGGGAGTTATGTTTGGAAGTAATTTTGCATAATCATTGTTCAATGCAAATCAGCTAGAGTTGAGTGAATGTTTTTATACAGGTAGGTAGTCCTCAATTTATAACCACAATTGGGGCCGAAATTTCCATTGCTAAACAAGATGGTTGTGAAGCAGGTTGCGCCTGATGTTACGACTTTTTGGCATGGTTATGTGAATCACCTCAGATGTTAAGTGCATTATATGATCGTTAAAGTGAATTTGGCTTCCCCAATTGACTTTGCTTGTCAAAGGTGCCCTGGGAAGATAGGAAATGGCAAGCATGTGACCTCAAGTCACTGCAGCCGCTGTTAATACATGCTGGTTACCATGTGCCCAAATTAGGTTTATGTGATCCTGGGGATGTTGCCATGGTCATGTGAGGACCAGTTGTAAGTCAAGGATTACTGAGGTTTCAATATTTTAGCAACTATTCCTTCACTCACATTTCATGTCTTCTATATTGGTCAATATTCTATTGTTGACAAGGAGATATTTTTCAACTTTTTAAGATTCACGATTGCTCTAAATACGGTTCTCTGTACTCTGCCATTCTGTGAATGGATGCTGTTTTTCATTTCTCAGAGCAACTGAATCAGCAGTTTAGAACTGACGCCAGTACAGGCCAGAATAGTAAATCCTAATATATCACTGCAATCGGCATCTGTGTTAAGGCAGCATTAAGGGGGATTATACAGCGAAGCCAGTAGAACCATTGGAGAAAAAAAAATAAACACTAGTAACACAAGTTAAGATCTGGAGTGGAGGCCTTGATTTAAGCTTTGCTGATTGACATAAAGCCACTGAATCGAAGCAATTTTGCCTTACACCATCTTTCCTCAGCTTGGTATCCTTCGGATGCACTGCACAACTTTCACTATTTCCAGTCACCATATCCAAGATGGAGAAAGCTGCCTTAGTTCTCAGCATTGGTAATATACACTCACCCTTTTCTTTACCACACACCCCTTTTAAATACCTTTTGTGGCCACAGACTATGAGCACAAACCACCAAGACTTAACTCATGATTTCAATCATAAGATTTAACTCATTCTTCAAGCCTTCGTGACTACCTGCGAGGACATAGCGCCCCTCCCCCCCTTGAAGTCCGCAGACCACACGTTGAGAACCACTGCACTATACCATTTGGCTTAATTTGGAAAAGAAAAAAAAGGGATAAACAAAGATAAATACCAAAAATGCCCAATTCACACTATTAAGAGGAATTCCATATTTGGCAAGACTAATAATTCATTACATAATCAACTCCTGAGGTTTGTTTTTCCTAGTTTGTTGAATTAAAGGAAAAAGCAATGAATAAAATATTTGAAATATACCAAAGTCACAACTTCATTTATGAAATGAGGTTTGATCCAAAACTCAGTGCAAGTGGCAAAATTGACCATTGCTATACAGTATCTGTGAGAAAGATAAGAATAAAACCCACTTTGCTCAAACGGGCAGAAAAAGTTAGGGGTGCCACCAACACTGTCCCAGATTAAAAATTCAAAGAAGTTTCTAACATTGAAACTTTATAAATAAAGTACAAACTAGATGATATTGCTGAACAGTGAACTGAGTGGTGGGGGAAAATATTAAAACATATACAAGTTACTTCTAGCATAGACCAAGAAAGGAATGTTGGAATTTTTTATACAATAGAAATTTAAAATTCCAGTTGTTTTCATGAGGAAATTCTGAGCCATGCAGGGTTTTTTTTTTTTGCATATGGATATATATTTTTTATATATACTATATATATATATGTATATATGTACAGTTTAGCTATAAAACTTTGATGTGTAAAGAAGCTGTCTTCAATGAAAAATTGAACATTCAGAGGAAATTCCTGAGTTAGGGTTTTGTGACATGAGCCACTGAGAAAAAGCTGCGTTTGGATCCTCAGAGGTGTTATGTCCATCCCTGTTGAATATTGAAATTAAAATACAGTAACAATAACAACAACAATAAAAAAAGAATCAGACAGTGTTGCCACTGCTTTGTTCCCCTGCCTGAGCATGGGATAGCACCATAGTGAAGAAGTTAAACTCCTGCTTTGTAGAGAGGATGGAATACTTAAAAACAGTATTGCTGCTAAGACCACTGTAGTGTGCACCAAGTATGATCTTCAATATAGACAACAATTGATCGTGGCTACTGACTGACTGAAGAGACCTTGCTAGGTGTGATGTAAAAGGTATACCGAACACTAGGTGTACTCCTTCCTAGGCTGCTCATCTGTTGTACACTTATCAGTCATTTCCTGACAGAAATCCATGGTCACCGCTTGGTTGTTCTGCTCTGGAGGGAGCTCCTGCTCAGAATAAGTAACTTGGTCAACTCCATCCAGTCCTCTTGCAGCACATTTGTCAGAAATGTTGTTGGGTAGCCAGTGGGCTCCCAGCTGCTGCACTGGGCTTTGTTCTGAACAACACTGCAAGCCTTCTCCGATGCACTGGGATGTCACTACATTTTGCTCCACTCCACCTGATGAAGGGTTGATACTAGCTGCTGTTGGAAGATCCATAGGCCTGAGCACAGGGCAGTATCGGTGAAGGTCTTGGATCTGTTCGGAGCTCTGCATATCTCGGCAGACTTCTTGGGAAAGGCAGGAGAAATTATCTAATAACTCTCCCATGCATGCTTTCAGCTGGTTCCTTTCTGAGAGAAGTTTCTCTTTCTCACAAACCTGTCAAATACAGAACAGCATTCATTTTTAAAGAGAGGTTTGGCACATCAGGCTTCAGAATGTCAAAATCAGGTATTAATTGATTGGCATATTATCCAGAATGAGATGCCAGAAGTCTGGCTAGGCTAGACAGTGGAAAAGCAAAGGCATAAAATAGATAATAGATCTTCAGATTAATAGGAGAACCATGGATTGGAAGAACTAATCTGGAGTAAAATAAAGAGCCATTCTTCTCTTGAGGCAACATTCAGCAATCAGAAACACATATATAATATGAACAGATGACGGACTAGAAGAAAGCAGTAGGATCAGGGAAAGAGAAGAAGCCAAGTCAACAGATAAGATATATGTTTGTGATGACAGAATTGTCTTTAGAAAAGCTATGAATTATTAGGGGAGAAAGGCTGAGATGGGGAACGTTATATCCATACAATTTTAAGGAGTTGACCTGGACTCAATCATCCCTAAATATGATCATACTAAATATTATGAGCCGAGGTGGTGCAGTGGTTAGGGTGCAGTACTGCAGGCCACTTCAGCTGACTGCTATCTGCAGTTCAGCGGTTCAAATCTCACCGGCTCAAGGTTGACTCAGCCTTCCATCCTTCCGAGGTGGGTAAAATGAGGACCTGGATTGTTGTTGGGGGCAATATGCTGACTCTGTAAACCGCTTAGAGAGGGCTGAAGCCCTATGAAGCGGTATATAAGTCTAACTGCTATTGCTATTGCTATCAGAAGTTACTTGATGCATTTTGTTCAAGTTTAAGCGAATGTGGAGTGTATTAAATAGATGATGGAACATGGTTAATAAGCCTTAATATTTAGTATAAATTATAAAGACAAGGCAAAATAAATTAGATGGATTTTATTAAATTTGGTCAATGATCAGTGTAAGGTGAGATATTTAATAAATAATGGTATTTAATATTTCTTTAGGCTTACCAATTTGCGGATTTCACATTCTAAATTCTGAATACAGTCCAGTTTTCTCTTGCGACAGCGCTGGGCAGCAATTCGGTTTTTACTGCGCCGCCGAACATCATGGATAAATTCCAATTGCTCTGAGGTTAATTTGTGCATCTTTATCATCATCTGGAAATCATTCCTTGGAAGATCTGTGATTTGATCTACAGGAAAGGGAAGTTTCACCTGAGGTAAAACAAAGGAAAAGGCAGACTGTTTATTTAACAAAGAATTTAATAGGTTACTTGGAATAATTCTTTTATTCAAATAACATAGTTGAATATAGTTCAAATATTAACTGTTGCATTGTAGGCAACTTTAAGAAATAGCTATCCTAACAGTGTAAATGACTATTATACAATAAAATCTGCAATACTATCAAGTACAAACAGCTTTGTACAGATAAATGTGATTTTTCATGTCCTCCTCAAAGTACAGGTTCCAGTTCAAAGAATGGATGATAATTAAAAGTATAAAGAATAATACTTTATACTAAAGAATAATCCTAAAATAAAAATTGTGGTACTTTTTTTTCTTAACTGCGGTTATATATCTGTTATGCTAATTGTTGAATTTAGTTGTGCTTCTTTCTCCATCAATGAAACCATACATCGTCCAATTTGACAGCCAGTAAATAAATCATCAGAATAAGACGTAAAATGTTTCATGGTGGATTCAGATGATGATACAAATCCTCAAGATTTATTTTGTTTACGTATTCATGCTCTTCTATGTTGTGATAAAATATATTTATCCCATTATTAACAATATTTTTTCTACCACTATAATCATATGACCCTGGGTGGTAAGAAAAGTCAAGGCAGTTTCTCTAATAAAAGAATGATTCATAAAAAATTAAAAACCAAGTCTAATAAAATATTAAAATATTCTTTTATTGCTATCATTGCTTTTCATAAAGAAGAAAACACTTTCTGTAGTTAGTAATGCATGTTTTCAAAACGGAACTATGCTGCTATTATTCTGAAGTAGCCTTATTAAAACTGGGTACCCTGATGCTTTAAAAGGTCTGATTTAGAGGGAAATTGAAAGCATTCAGAAGCAAGAATCTAAATGCATGAAGGACATTCAGAAGATGGCAGAATAAAACAATGGATATTTTACATCCTCTTAGAGACTACTCTGGAAAAAAGTGTTGGGAATATAGACAGACAGTTCATTAAAAATGTCAGCTGAATCTGCAGTATTGATGAACAAGTAAATGAAATAATAAAAAAATTCTGACGATGAATATGTGGATGGCATTTTGGCAATATATATTTGGAATATTGTTTATGCATTGCGTTGTTCTATATCACAAAAATATGCGCAAGGAGGGAGAAAAATGTAGAAAAGTCCAACTTGTATGATCAACAAAAGATTACACTCAAAGATTAATCATCCTACAATGTCTGATCAATATGTGAAGTGACTGATAGCTGAGGGCATAATTAAATTTTATTACCATGTCATATAGTGATGGCTTCTAGTTTACATAATTATATTTTTAAGCAAAATACAGCTGCACAGATTCATTGAGGATAGGTTTTTTTAATGGCTATCAATCATAACCATTGGTTTTTAATACCTAACAGTAGAAAGTTATGAGTACCTAACAGTAGAAAGTTAACTTAAAGCTTTATTTTGAGATTTACAGAGAAATTTACTTTGCAAAGGGACATTAAATTGACTTCAGTTTCAACCTCGGGGTTGTTATTCTTGCCTTTGATCCTATCACAAAGAACCAATTAATTTTCAAAATCTCAGTATATCATAGATACATGTTGTCTATATTGATATGCCCAGTAGATGGCACCATGTATTTTAAGATTCACAATGACAGAAAGACTATATTCAGATATGGCTCACACATGCCTTCTCTAATTCAGACTTCCCAAGAGAAAACACCTTTGATATATCAGAATAGATTTTGATGGCTTGGACACAAGTCTGCCCCTTACACAGCCATGAACATTGCAATATAAGCAACTCTCACAACCAATAGAAATCCTTCTGTCTGGTTTTGTTTGATAAATATTGCACAAGGCCATGTAGTTTGGCATCCTTTCACCCACTTTTCCACAAACAAGAAATCACGCCCCCCCCTCCTAATATCATGGGCAAACAAGTATATTAGTTATATTATATTACTGTTCTTGTTTGTGGAGAAGTGAATGAATGAATGCCAAAGTGGCCTTGTCTATGGAGATTCTCAGTCATCCAGGTCATGGCTGTCCCAAAGGTGCTTTTTTCAAGAGACAACTGGACTTTCTGGTTTTTCTTTCAAGACGTTTTGCTTCTCATCCAAGAAGCTTCTTCAGCTCTGACCGGATGGTGGGCAATGGAAGGATTTATACCCTTGAGGACAGCTGGTCATTTGCACACTTTCAGCTGTCTGCAAGGAGTATAAATCTTTCCATTCCCCACCATCTGTTCAGAGCTGAAAAAAAAGCTTCTTAGGTGAGAAGCAAAATGTTTTCAACGAAAAACCAGACAGTCCAGTTGCTTCTTGATTCATTATCCCATGAATATATTACTTCTTTTCACATCGTCTGTCTGTGAACCTTCACCTTCTTCTCCCACCTGGGAAACTATATAAACACAAACACACAGTACACAGGTCGCATTATTGTGACATGAGTCACCAGAAATGGTCACCGCCCCACAATTAAACAATGTTCTGTTAAATATACAAAGTCTGACCTTAGACATGGTGATGTGGACCATTATGCTTACAGACTGAGATAGGAAGAGTGCCTATTTTCTCTCTTCATACATTTTAGTCTGAAACATTTAGACTCTGCCTAATTATGTTCGTGTTCAACATATGTTCCCTCCTAATTCTATGGGAGGTTAGTACAGTAAGCATATGCCATTGCAACTTGGTTTCCTTCACAAGATCCCCGATATTTAGAAAAGACGGTAGACGGGACACCAATTATTTTAAAATCTCAGGGAGGGGATTTCTACTGAAATCCCTTGAATTCTACGGATGCAAGACTACTGTTACTGTTTACTGATTTTACTTTTCCCGTGGCTTCTGCCTTCTGAAATAAGGTGCCCTTGAGGTGGAGCTCTGCCCCCACTTTCTTGGCCTTCTGAAAAGGCCTTAAAACCCGGCTTGGCCGAGGGCCCCAATGGGACCTTTAACGCTGGAGTTGGTTAGTGGATTAAGACCACGACCTCACATCCACCTGGTTTTTATACTGGTTCTTAATTTACCTAATTTTTTAGGTACAATTTAGGTAACAATTTTTAAAGAATTGTTAATTCTTAATGTCTGCACATTTTAAAGTTCTTGCATTTTTGTTGTTGTGATGTTGGGAGCCGCCCAGAGTCGCTTGACAGTGAGATGGGCAGTATATACATTTAATAAATAAATAAATAATATAAAGACCGAAATATGTTTCTAAGCACTGGTGATTATGCACCTCAAAGGCTGTCATCTATGCACAAGAAGGAGTCATTGGCAGCCTTGCTTTTCAATAGTACAGAAAATAAAAAAGAACTCTCACCTTGCGTCACAAAAGCCAATCCTTTGACAGAGTTAAAAGGCCAAGCTAAGCGCAAATTTCAAAGTTTATGCAATTTCTTATGCCTTTATTACATGGCAGGAACACTTATGCTTGGGGTTAATTTCTGAACAGACCAACCACATAGTTCAGTCTGGATGGTCAGTTGTAATGTGGTTTATTTTGGCCTCATACTGGAGCAGCACAGTTACAATATCCAGTAAGCCATGAAATATTGTCTAGCACGTTGTTTACACACAGCCAGTTGGGATTTAGTCAACAAAACAAGGTTGCCCAAACCATGGCTTAATATAATATGTAGACAAGTTCACTAACTAGTGCAGGATGGGATATGTGGTTTACCACAATGTTCTGACATTTTAAAAGAGAACTTAGAGCCTTAGGCTAAACTGAAATTAAATAGTTTTGGGGTAGCCCAAAGCACGTGGATGTATTTTTATTTCTATACTGTAGCTTAGTTTTAAAAAGCAGTATACAACAATGCAGTGTTATTATAAGAGCCGAGGTGGCACAGTGGTTAGGGTGCAGTACTGCAGGCCACTTCAGCTGACTATTATCTGCATTTCAGCGGTTCTAATCTCACCGGCTCAAGGTTGACTCAGCCTTCCATCCTTCCGAGGTGGGTGAGATGAGGACCAAGACTTTGGGGGCGATATGCTGACTCTGTAAACCGCTTAGAGAGGGCTGAAAGCCCTATGAAGCGATATATAAGTCTAACTGCTATTGCTATTGCTATATCCTCCTTATATTCTTGAGCTGAGATGGAGTCTCTTCTGTGACAGAGTAGCTTTCAATGTCTCTGTAACTGCTGATCCTGACAGAGGCAAAGCATTGGGCCTGATTTTGATTCCTTGCATTTCCTTACATCTACAATAAATTTCAACTTTTGTAATTTGCCCCCTCAATCGTCTTTCCATATCAAAACTAGAAATCAGCTGATTGCAGAAGACTCAAGCTATGTTAGTAGCTGGTTGCTTTTTGAATATCTGAACATTATGTTCAGATTTGAATACAAGGTAAGGATCAAGTAAGAGTAGATATGCTTTTCTTTTATGTTTTTCCAGTCCTATGAGCTCCAATAACACACACATTATCTATACACCAAGACAAAGGGGTGGGGGGGAGAGCACACTACAATATATGGGATTCTGCTTAAGAAATCTGTTTCAATTATCCAGGATAAAGTTAAATAATGCAAAGTGAATAAGAGAGCCAATTTAATGTAGTGGTTAAGGCCCCAGGCTAGAAACTGGGAGATGGTAAATTCTAATCTTGCTTTAGGCTCAAAGCCAGCTGAGTCACCTTGGTCAGTCACTTTCTCTCAGCCCTAGGAAGATATTTCTTTGCCAAGAAAACTGCAGGTTAACTGCTAGTCCATTGAAAGGATTCAACAATGACTTTGAGGCACCAAATAAATAAATAGACGTCAGTCCAAATCACAAAATTGCAAAAAAAAAAGAGAGGAATATTTATTCCAAAGTTTGCATCTTTATGAGATTCTCTTAAAAAAGGTTTTGTACTCGGCCCAATTATGCTTCCACTGTTATCTTTTGATCAGCAGTAGATCAATTCCTCTTGTTTATACACGTTATTTATATAGTCTGGCCTAGTTTTGTGTTTTAAAAAAAGATGTCAAACATTTGAAAGACCTTGAAG